ATAAATTTATCAAGTGGTGGGAGGCCTTTCTCCTTTGCCACTTTTCCCCTAGTGGAAGCTGAGTTTGCTCGCGGGTGTACATTCGATCCATACCTGGAATTACAGTTTCATGAATATAGTGATAACGAACACACAACAAATATTCATTTTTATCGAATAATTTGTAGGTAACCAAAAGCAAACAAAAATTCGTTTGCACCCACCCAAAAGCAATTTTTGCGCCCAGAGAGGGGCACGCCATCGATGTGGTTGAGGAGAGAGCACACCTCTGCAACCCCTTTGGGTTCTCTGTTATTATCGTTATTTCAAGCTGTTAATATTAATAGACGTAATATTAATGGACGTATAACGTGTATCGCTGCGCCGACGTTGTTCGACAGCAAGACAGAGAGAAACCGCGAGAGACGGACTCGTGGCTATAATTGAATAGACGCAGCTGTGCGTACTACGTGCTCGTAAACCATTAATGACCTATAGCCATTGACGATCGTCTGGTGTTATTATTCCTCAAACTGACCGTCAGTCGGCGTGTTTATCTGGGTGTTTTCAATTTTCTCGATCGCAGGGACGTACCCACGAATGGTACACCACTATCGGATCAGATTCGCGAACCAGAGCGTAATGATTTTGGTCGTTGACCGATTGATTGCTTTTTCGAAAAACGACACCCTACGTTATTTAAAAATTTTAAACCGATCACGTGCACCGGTCACAGTCAAACGTGACAGCTAGTGGTGAAGAATTAGGACCGTTCCTGGATTGTTGGCCGTTCGAGTGCAAAAACAGTATCGCCGCCGTTATTAAATTAATATTATTTAATTAAGAATTTGATGTACACTGTTTACATTCATATCTATATACAGGGTGTTTCACTTAAAACAGGCAGCTAAATATCTTCTCTATCGGTGATCATACGAGAAATATTCTTTACATAATTCAGATGGTTTTATGGGACGAATCGGATGGTGGTTAAAATTTGTTATGTCATTTTTTAATGTTTTTTTCGTTATTATATTGTTGAGTTATATTCGATTACACTATATTATATTGTCGAGGAATCTTACCTGCATTGATGCGGAGGATCCTCTCACACGTCTGTCCACAGCGAGGGGTAACGATATACTGAATGTCATTGTTCGGTTCACCGTCTTCGACACAGGTCATTCCTCGCCAAGCGGATCACTTTCGTACACAATGTCTGGGATTTTGCACGACTTGGAATACGTTATAGTCTGTGTGTTTTGATATTGTTTAAAAAATACAGGGCCTTAAAGTTAGCAATGTTCACCGATTATTAGAAGAATTACCTTCACAAAGGAATTTTCATTTTCACAATTATTAATTTTTTTTGTCATTTTCATCGTAAAATGAACTGTAATTTTAATCCATTATTCAATTAATCGTAGTCCACGTAAGTTTTGAATTACAATTGACGAAAAGTGATTCGTTTAGGCCGTCGAATAACCGGTAGCACAAGTTCAATCAGCACCACGATCCGACTGTTTCAATTACCGTTCATTCCTTAAACCAAAAATTCACTCTTTCAGTCGTACGAAACAAGCACCGTAACAATTACATCACACTATATTACATATTTTTGCAATCGCGTAATACACTACGTTGGCATAACTATAAAACCACCATGAAATTTTCAATCCTAATGTGTGGTGGTTAAAATAGAAACAAACCATACTTGGTTTCATTTTTCATTTGAACTACAACGCATAAGATTGAAAATTTTAGGGTGATTTTATAGGTTACGCCACGCAGTGTATTCCCATCCATGGAACAACTGCACATTCGATGTCCACGCGAAAAATCCAGCAAATTCCCGATCGTACGAATTTTTCGAGAAATACAGCAATAACATCGAAAACAATTACGTCCTTTCAGGGAATTTTCGAGCGTGACAGGATGATTCTGGTCTCCCTGAACCGTCCGCGATTCTAATTCCCGTCCCCTTTTTTTCTCGTCTCCCATGATCCCCGGGTCGCATTGTGACATTCGTGACGCGCATTTCCAGGTTTCTCCGAATCGTTTCGACGCGCGTGATTGCACGTTCGGCCGACGATCGCACGCAACGATCGCGAAACATCCATTCACGATTCCCCTACTGATGATGGACGATACATGTCAACTGTATCGATATTTCGTATCGAAGTATTGATATCATCAGTATCGGTTATCGATACTTGTAACTCATTAGATATCTATAATCTGTACTAAAAAAAATATGGAAAGCTTAAATAAATGGCTATAAAATTGTCGATAGCACCAGTGTGGCGTCAATTGTTATTTTCGATTAACACTACCTGATGTACAATTGTTTCAACTTGAGAAAATCTAGTTACATCCAAATGATATACGATATAAAGTATCGATATTCCGATTTATGGATACTGTATCGTCGATCGCTAGATCGTTCTTCGATCCGAGCGATTTCGACGACTCGTGAAACCTTCGAAGGACGGGGATAACTTCCGGTCCCGTCGGACTGTTCATGCTCATTTACATTCCGCCGGTGATTTTCTCTAGCGATCTACGTGCATCGAAAAGCAGTTGTTTCACGGTGGATGCCCCGTGGAATTCGTTCGAACAGGGCTTCGCGGTAGAATAATTCTCCACAGCACTGTTTACCTCCGTTTTGTCCCGGGACACGTTCTCCACTGGGAGAAATCTAACGTGCTAAGAACAGTGATTTTTCAACCGGTGTGCCGCGAGAAAGGTCCACAGGTGTGTATCGTCAAGACGTTTTAACCCCTTACCTTATAACATCAAGTCTAGACAGAAATGTCGACAATATCGACATACATCCAGTACTTCTATAGCACCGATGAAATATATCCTGTAAAATGTAAATTAAACGACACGAAACATATGGAAATTTTCGATTTGTCTTTTACTCCCTGACAAATCGATAGTCAATATCGAATGGATGGAAAAACAATTGGTAACCAACGGGTTCCTCGTTGTTTCATTTAGACCGTAATTTTTCTTATTCCACGTGACACGAACTGGAAGGTTACGTGTTGATATCGCAACTGCTTGGCAAATCAGTGTATTTTCAGATAGTAACTATACAGTAAGAAAAAATTACAGATCTCATGTTGCGAACGTTCACAATCGGGCACGCAGATTATTAACAAATGTACAAAAAAAACGATGGGCACTGTTCTACGTACGAGGTGCTATCGAAATTAAATTTCTCGGTATCAGCGTCAGATTAATTTTTAACCTTCTGGTTCCGGGGCTGGATCTAGGAATCCATTACGAATTTCCCGCTAGACGACAAAACAGGGACGTCTATTGTTATTCTTTTTCATTAACTATAAATTATCAACTATCAATCAACGAAAAAAATTTAAAATCATGGTTCCAAATCACCTCACTAGTGACCCATTTCAGAAACCTACGACACTTTTGCTACACCCTGTATGTACGTCGAAGCTCAAATAGATTGTTTATCTCATTATTGAGATATCGTGGCAGCCTATTTGGAAAACGTGGTTTTCAGAGAAACGCGTTTACTCCTGCAGCGGTACACCGTTTTCCTAAAATCGTTACAACTTCGTTATTTCAAATAATCGAAGCATGTCACTTTGGAAACCTCATATTCAAGGTTTTATAATAAAAGAAACTACAATTTTAAGAAAATGGATTTTTTAACTCCTCCAAATAGGACTACCCCTTTAATAAAAATTTTGCTAAACCCTGTCCGATTCTCTTTTCGATAATACCTCGTGTGTACGCGTCTCGCAGTTTACATATCGGCTGTGTCCGTGTGGCACGAAGGGGGGCTCTCCGGGGTGGATCGATCGGGGCCCCGGTTCTAATAATATCGATCAGCCCGCAGAGCACGGATTCCCCCGGTACCGGAAGTCGCGCGCATCGTCCCGACGCGAGGCCCCGCTACATCCTCTGTACACGCACGGGACCGTAATTACGCGATCATTTTCCCCCCGGTCAACAGCCTTGTAAATCTTCCGCCCGGTTCTCTCTCTCTCCCCGTGAAGGACGACGCCGCTCGTCCGTACGAACGGGGGGAAGGGGGTGGGGGGGAGGAGAAAAAGGGTAGAAAAAGACACCCACCGGAGGGATAATTTCTTCGGCGGAATGGCGTTGTAAATTCCGTTGGTGGATCGCGCGCCAGCGCCGTTTCTGCCCAGGAACGGTTCTTCCCCCGGTTCGACCCAGGAAGTCGCGTGTTATCTCCATCAATGGACTCCAGGGACTCGATCCGCCTCGCGGTATTGGCCGTCGTATTATTAATGGAGGGGAATCAGCGTTAAATGGTTGGGGTGGGGGTTGTTTGGAGTTGGTATCGGCGGAGACAGCGATTTACGCGGTTCGAAAACGTTGAGGATCAAGCTAAGAGAATGTTTGATCACCACGAATCGATTGAATTTATCGTGGTTGGTTCGATAAAATAAATCGTATCCTCCGTGAAACGGTTGGGAGATTGTATTGTAGATTCGCGGCAGGTTTTCAAGCCAGGTGGAATTGAAGGAAACATTCCACTCGACAGTTTGGGTGTACATTTTTGTAACTCCATAAAATCGGTGTTTTACGTTTATGAAATGGTCGCCGGATGATTTTGTCTATGATTTTCAGCCGATTGGATGCGAATGAAAAATAAAGGATATAAAGGATTAACGAAATAAAAAGGATTCACAGTAAGTGTTAATAAAGGATTGGTTTTGTTTTTCATCGTGTGTTTAGGCGTCGAATAGTCTAGGTCACAATTACGCTTCAATCTGGATCTATGGTACACCAAGGAAACTAAAATGGTCCGTCACATTTTAGTTTCTGTTACGAGGTCTGTCTTCAGTCCAAATGAACATAAATTCCTCGGCACTGAACAAAATCCAAAATCTAAGACACGTTGAATCATTGCTGTCCAACCATCATTGTGATCCACAAAGTTTCTTCGTCCTCCCCCAATGCCAGTCCCTTTTTCGGCAAACACAGCGAGCCTTCCTATATCCCAGGAGTAAAGACGATCAGCAGACGGTGTTATAAATCCCCTCCTCGTCCCCGTTCGCGTCGATGATCTCCGAGTGGGACGGCGCCAGCTTGACGTATCCCCTGTCCCTCTCCCTGGTCCCATTCTTGGCGACGGGCGGAGGTTTTTCCTCGGGAGGATTGACGATCATCGTGGTCTCGCAGATCTCCGCGTAGATCTCCTCCGTCTTCGACGGCGGGGTCGACGGCAACGGTGTCAGGCTGTCCCTGACCTTCGAGTACGGCGGGTCCAGGTCCTGCTGGGTCTGAACTTCTAAAACGCTGGTGGACACCGATCGTTGCACCTGTTGCCTAGGCGATTGCGTCGCCTGCAACAGATTCGTCTCCGACTCCAGGCTGGCGTATCTCTCGGTCCTCATGCCGATCTCCGGGCGAACCGCGAACGTGAACGAAGCGGACTTCTTCGCTGGATTCCTACTTCTGCCACCCTGGGCTATCCTCGAAATCCGATCGAGGAAGCTGTGATTGTTGCCTCCGGTTCGGCTGTTACTCCGATCCCGGATTGTCGTTCTCTTGATGTGCTCCAAACCCTCTTTCAGACTCTGCAAAATCGGTTTCGCCTCGGTCTTCGACTTGATCTCTTTCAGATGGAGCTCCTTCAGCTGACCGTTGTTGACCGGCGGCTTCGGGGGCGCCACACGAGGTTCCGTTGCCCTTTGGTCCAAAGCTCTTCTGCGATCGAAATGGGAACACGGATGGTCGATTAGCGAAACCGTGGAAACGATGATCCGTCATGGAAGTGTTAAGAATTAAAACTTACAAGAATGAAACGTTGGGATTGCCATTTGGAAATGCGACGGATTGGAGGTTTTTGGTTGCTGTGCTTGCTTGGTATAGCGATAAAATATGTGGGTGAGGTGTTAGTGTTATTTTAGCAGAAAACGTAAGTCTCCGCGATTCTATTTCTTTCTAAGAACTTTCTATTCGTGACTAATGGTCTGGTAAAGCTTTTTCTTTTTTACCTGCAAGCTGAAAGTAACCGCTGCATCTTCGGCGACGCTAGCAACCGTGCTTCAGAAGGACAGCCCAACCGCGCCCTCTTCACCCGAGGCGCTGTCGGTCCTGTCGCGACTAATTCAAGAAGTTCCGGGACGGTGGAATTCGGTAAAGGTCGCTCGGGCAACAATGGTACCGCACATCCCAACACTATGGGCCCCCTGGTTGCGCCCTCCAGTTGCATCAGCCCGCTGTAATCCCGTGGTAATGGTATCGGCAAGGGTCCAGCGACTAATCGTACCTGCCAATCGGATTCCACTTTGTCTGGTTAGTGTTTCGAAACTGAAAATAGGTCGCTTGAGGCTTTCGTTAGGGTATGATACGGACTTACTTCATTATTCACAGTGCTTTTTAAAAGATGAACTATTATTCTACTAATCAAGACTATCACCATGATTAACACAGGGTGTTCCATCCAACGCGAACACATTTAGTATTTGACTTCTTCTTGATTTGCAGAAAATTAATTTTAATGAATGCTTAAAGTGATGTCCATCAACTTCGATAAATTTATTTATTTTTTAATTTAAGAGGAAATCTTAACAAATACTTCGCATACGATGCACATAGTGGTAAACACATTCTTGCGAATATCTCGAAAACCGAAGACACCGACTATTATATGTACAGGAAAAAGTTGTTCAGAATGATGACCTTGACAACATATTTCAAGGTCACTGAAATCGGAGATGGCTCCGTTATTCTGAATAATTACCGCAAATTCTTTCCCGACAAAAGTATTGCACAAACTAATAATTCGGTCCAAGCTTACCCTCAGAGGAAGATCCCTTCTGGCGAGCTGATGAACTCTGTACAATACCGCGTCGCTTCCGGTGTCGAGGCTTCCGCTCTGGCAGGTCGCGTAGAACTCTCCCCTCGCGGAAAGCGGCGCGAATAGCTCGTGCCCGTGGGAGTCCAAGCACTGCGCGTACTGATCCCGTTCCGACGACCTTGAACTCTTACCTTCCGGGACCGCGCTCACAACACCGGAAATCCCACTGGAGACCGGGGTCCTTCGTGTGTCCTGGAAGACCGCGGCGAGCCGCAGAACCTCACCCGCCCGGACCGTTGTTTTCGTGTAATGAGCCCTTAGGTTTCCGTTCTCTGTAACAGAATGTCACAGGACTCTGAATTACAACAAACAGAATACAGACTCCTCTAGATTATCGTCCCGAACTCGAGTCCGGGCCAGGACAATAATCTTATAGGGAGAAATGCTTCAGATCCTCGAAAATTAATTTTTTACCCCCCCCCCCCCAGTGATGGAGATGACGTCTGAACACTCATCAATAATTTACCGTATGACATAGATCGGAGAGAACCACTATACGATGATGTTTCGGGGAACTCGCATGCAATACTCGAGACTCATTCCCAAAATTAACGGTACAATCGGACGATATATCAGAGCCATCGAAATTACGCGACACCGCCAAGAGGGACACAGTACTCCGGCTGCAGAACGTCCATGGAAATCCCCTTTCACGCCCGAGCGTAATCGTTGCAGCGCATATAATGGGCATAACGCCCGTGTGTGTATCGTAATAGCGCCGACGGCTTTCACCCGGGCCCCGCGTGCCTATTACGTTACGTGCCCCCACGTCGCCTACGTCTAAACACGCACGAATAGTCGCCGCTGCCGCGGTGTGTTCGGTTGTGCGAAGCCCGCGTTAACAGACACATTGACATTCGTGTCACGGCCAGTCGCTCTACCCGAGGGAATAATCCGAACCGCGGGGCCAGTGCGTGAGTGCACGCGCCTCTTCTAACGCAACACGCATCGCCATGTCTTGGACGAGTGACGTGTGCGTGCATCGCGACAATGCTGTATTCGCCACAATTCTACACGTGTGTAGAGTCGTAACAAACGGACATCACACACTGTTGAATATCTCATCCACGGAACAGATGGACTAGGGATAAACCGATACCGTCAGGGTATCGATACGTTTACTCATAACTTGTATCGAAAGAAAAATGTATATCTACGTAGTATCGCATGAAAAGTATCGATACCTACTTGTATCGAAGGAAAGTAAATACTAAGTTCTGTTTTTATTAATCTCTGTACGAGTACTCGATAGTGGGTTTCTGTTGTAATCGACTAAATACCAAGGACCAATAGAAGGGGAAAAGAAGAATCCACTGGACTTACCCATTTTGGAATGCGTCAGCGTGTAAGCTCTGAGCGGTTTCGCGAGCAGAAACGCCGGGACACCGGCTCGGACCAGAGCTCCCACTCTTCTGTACACCCTGGCACTTCCGGTACCACTGTTGTTCGAGACAACAGAGAACCAGCCTGCAACAAAATTTCCGACGATCGTTAGCTTTAGCCGAATGCAATGCAATAACTTCATCGATTTACAATCTCGCTACCTATGATCGCACGCACAATACAGTAATTCCTCGATGAGTGCTCAAAGGCTCTGACAAGCAGAGGTCCCCAGGTGTAACATTGACTTTTTAATGAGGTTTACCACAGTTTATGAACTATTTAATCTTCAGTACCGAAGAGCCTTCGAACATTCATCGAGGATTCACTGTAAAATATCCGTAACAACTTCGTCGAAAACAGTCAAAAATTTCCCGCCAATGACCAATCCGAGTCGACGCACACAAGATCAATAAAGAAAAATCGATTCGTAACATGGTAATCTAAAGACTAATATAAAATGACCCATTAAAACATTAGATATAGCACAACAATAAACGGTAAATGTTTCCAAACACACACAACCCAGATCGTTCAGTGGACGATCACTATGCCCCTGGCATACCAGCATGTACCGTCCATTGAACGAAACGTCAGCCGGTGTCGCAAAAACGCAATGACTCGCGAGACAACCTAATATAAAAGCGGCTCGGACCTGGGAGGAGGTGGTGGAGGGGGCTTCCACCGAAAAAGATACAGTTATCCCCGGTTTCGATCAGCACCGTAATTTTCGCTTTCTCGTGGAAGGACACGCAACCGATGGCATCTGTGTCAGGCCCCCGGCGTCATTCCACGTCTCGGTTCTCGCGGGGCCGGTTCGTTAACGTGCTATGCACCACCCGGTGTTCATTCTGATATTCGAACGTGACAAACGTTACCGTTGGCCCTCGTGGAAACGGTCCCGGTCCGGCTATACGGACGAAAAACAAGTCCCCTTTCATAAACTCACGTACCAGCGAGCGCGCGCACGGCCCTTATTAAACCAGCCCTTCGCCAGGCCGATACGTTTCTTACCACCATGATCGCAATGTCAATTCGACCCAGTTTGCTAACATGATCGCGACACCATGTTACGAATTTCTGAACGAAACGTGAACGGTGCAGCGCCCAATGTTACACGTTATGACGGTGTATACTTATCATGAAGAAATGGCCATTTTTGTTATGTAATGACGAGTATACTCATCACGCGAGAAAAGTAATTATCGTTTGTTACATAAATTAACATTTTTGACATTATATAATATTTTGAGACTATACTATACTATATAAATAATCTTTGTTGAATAAGGAGATTATGAATGGTTGAAAATAGGCGTCTACACTGGAAGACCCCCCTTAACCCTCGAAAGGTGGACGTTTTTGTTGATCAAATAGACGGCGGTAGTTGGGTCCAGATAAGACTCCCACTCACTTGTCTTTTTGATGTGTCTTGGTACGAATTATTTCAAAATTCAAATAAGTTTTTGATAAAATACTAATATAAACAATTGTATGCTTCAATTAATTTTTGTAGACCGAAATGGTGCGTGAAGCTTCTCGAAATTCTGGGTCCAAACAGAGCCAGACACAGTCTGGATGTTTTAACAATTGGACTGTATTAGATGATAAGTGACCCACTGGTTCTTCTCAAGAAAACTAATAATAAAGTTTAAATTTAACACGTCTTTCCACCCTCTTCCTATTTAAAAATGGAGGCGAACAGTGAAGAACGAAAACAAATATCAGTGGAACAGCCCTAGGCTTCTGGTTTCCAGGAAGAATTGAATTTGGTAAAATATAGTGGATTACCTGTTGGCACATCTGCTAAAAAAAAGTGCCGTTATTCAGGAACTAATAAATACATACTAATGCACGCCACTGAAAATGAGGTTGCCAATGTGTCGACACGACAACTGCCAACGTTTTCATTATTGGGACAAGATTGTAATCAAACATAGGCACCTGTTCCAAGCTTTTCGCCTTTTCAGGAATAAATGTACTATTTGGAACAATTCGAATAAAACACAATAATTTAGGCAGTTCCTTGCAGATAACTGTTGCAACAATAACTTAAATTATCGTATTAGATATGATCACTGAGTGCATAGAAAGTAGAACACGCAGGAAAGGAAACGATCGTTAGCATGTTCACTGTCACGCTGTTTCGTACGGATTCATTTAATAACACTGACACGGAAATGTATTCGACATAATTTATTTATGAATTCGTGAAACAGAGAAAAAAAAATGTATAATATGACTGGAGAACAACCACCATCACATTCATTAGCTTTCATATCGACTACTCACTCCATTCGATACGAGTACTTCTATCCGATACCGAGTATATGTATATGGAAACAAAAGTATCGATACTAAAAATACTCGGCACCGAAAGGAAAGTACAGATATTGAAAATACTCGGTATCGAAAAGAAAGTATCGATACTGAAAATACACGGTATCGAAACGAAAGCATATCAATTATTTACTTGAATCGTTTCAACCCTATTTACAAGCCTCGTCCTCTCGGGCGTCACGTAACGTACATTGCGACACAGCGTCGCGTATAAATCGGTGAATCGATTTGCAAGCGGTTTACATCGTATCGACCGCCATCTTGAATTGATTTACGACCGGTGCTAATGCGCCCGAGTGTCAATGATCGTTCCATCGCGCCTTTCCGCGAAACGTCCTTTCCGCGAATGTGTTAAACGTGGGTGTGTTTTATCGCGGACCCCGGCACCGCCTGCTTTTATGAGAATCGCTGAATTTATCGCCGATTGACCCCGTCCAGCACGGCTAGATTAAATTACAATCTCGTTTTCCAAGACAAAGAGGTGGCTTCGAGTCACCGCCCCCCTGAGCGACCGGTTGCGGTGGATCGTACTTACGTTAACCGCAGTTTGGCGAGCTTTCCTTGTCGTTTCTGTACGATAGGCCAGTTAATTCTCGCGACACTTTGGCAGAGAACACAAGAAAACTCTGATATGGAACTGTTCTGAATGTTTGTGGTATTATTCGTTATTCCCGAAATGAAATCGTCGATTGTTCGAACCCTCTGGACTAGAAATAAAATGATTGTTCTGTCTTATTGATTTGTATTTGTTGTGTAGGTAAAAAATACGTCAATTATAATAATAAACTGAAATACCATCCTTTACTATTTCATTAATGATTATTCACCATTATGTTAAATAAATCTTTAAATATTATTATTCGATTTCATTATACACTTTCTTGAAAAGTCAAATAATATATTCTGATATGGTGTGTCTTGGAATTGTTGATACACTTAAAGTTTCGAGGTATTCGATCTTATAGCTTCGATAGAACAACTTTTACAGAATTTACGTCTTTAAGACTCTATCCGTCGAAATGAACTTTGAATCCTCGAAGAAACGAACTTCGTATTTGGTTGGCCCACAAAAATAATATTGGTTAGGAGCGGTGCTTTGTATAGAAAAATAATGAAAAAAAGTATCATCTACTGCAGAAAATCGACATTATTCTTTTGACCAACCTAATACATACATGATCAGAAGTCGTGAATGTTCCATAGACACTTCACCAAGAGAACCAGCTGGCTGCAGCATCCATGTCCAGATAGTAAAAGTAGCCCCTGTACTATGTAATACATTAATGCATCGTCTGTTCTATTACAGCTACCTTGGTATACTGTTTCGCCATTAATATTCGATTAACCTGCGCCCTGTGAACGCGGAGAACAATGCACAGTGAACAGGCACGTCTCCCTTGTGTTTCGGCTTCTGGTCGAACGTAGAGCAACCGTCCAACGTTTACCTCCAGCATACGGAACTACTCCGAATCACGAGTCGACCGAATGCTAACCAAGAAGAGATACACGGCTGTATGGAAATCGAAGCCGTGATCGTGTAGAAATGGAGCGAGAATGATCGTCGTTGCACCCAGACTTGGGCACTTTTGAAATGATATTATTTGAAATATTATTTCAAATAACATGTTATTTTATTTTCTGATGATTTCAAATAATTCTTTTTGCTTTAGGAATAAGTTAAAAAATAATATTTAATATCCGAATTGCTCATAATCCGAAATATGTACAAATATGTACAACTCGTCAATTACCATTAGCAGAGCAGAATACATGTTCCGAACTAAAAATGGTTAAAAGCAAAGATATACCCTCACGAGCAAACTCGGCTTCCGCTGGGGGAAAAAGCAATGTCAGAGAAGAGCCTTCGATCACTTGGTCTCAGGAATTATTGAAATTTATGCCAAATTAACATTCGATTTAACATTTATTTCGGTACTTGAAATAAATTTACGAAGTAGTAGGAGGCATTTCTCTACACATTATTTAAAATAATCACACTATTGGCAGCATGTAACTGGGGCAGTATTGTAGTGACGATGAAGTGAAGATAGCGGACTACCTGTTAGTACATCCAACAGAATCACCTCCCTTTCTATCAAGATTTTCGCTACACCCTCTGTTAATTAAAACAACGATGCCCTCTAAGCAAAAAAAGTTCACAGTTTCTTTCTCAATGTAGAATATTCAGCACAATGGCAGTCCATGTGGAACTTCGTCGACGCGATGGTATCGCTAACCTTTCACATGCATACACACATACACACACGCACAGATGGTAACCAATTACACTCTGGCCAGAATTACGCAAGAGAGGAGCACGTGGAGTCGTATGCTAATCGGTCGCTGAGCGCGAAACGAAAAGAAATTGGGGGTATATATATATATAGGTATATATACCGATACTCATTAGGTGAACACGTTGCCAAATACACAACCGATCCAGGCTATTCAGATCACACTCATTATCTCGGAGGTCAGGGCAGGCTTGGAGCAAGAATGAATTCCGCTCGGCAACTTTCACGCTGCGTAACAAGCGGCCCAGGGTGTGTGCGCCCTCGCGTTAACGCACGCATTTACTATGCGCATAACCGTGAATTGGATGCTACTTTGGACAGTCGTGTTAAAAAAAGAAAAGAGCAGGAAGTGTAGTTAGAAATCGAAACTGACGTGCTTTCACAGTCGGATGATATTTCAATTGCCCATTTGGGGAACGAAATTTCTAAACTATCCTAAGTATGTATTCATAT